AACTCAACCTCTTGCTTTTAAAAATCAGATTTCACTTCTCTTTGTTTTCTTTTGCTCCACAGCCAAGTCTCATGGATCCTTCAAGAATTCTTTGACTGTCACCCTTCTTGACATTACTAAAACCCTCTTCCAGGCCCAAATTGTTGCTGCCTTCCTAACCAGTCCTGTCTTTACTTTCTCTCATCCACCTACATGAACCCTCTACTTCAGTGAAATTGAACACTTTTTGTCTCTCAAACATGTTGTATGTATTCCTCTCTCAGGGCCTGTCTTTATCCTCCTCTGCCTGGTATGTCTTTCCTCATGTGTCCCCTCTCTTTGCCTGAGCCTTTCCAATTCTACTCCTGTTTTTCTTTTTGAGTGGCCTCTCTTAATTGGTCCACAGTGCTCACTTCCCTGCTGACTACTGTTCATAGATTTAGGCCTGAGCTGTGAGGCTGCGTGATTACTTAACTTACAGAGTCTTCATTTCATCATATGAAATACTGGGAACAAATATAATCTTTAAAGTCCATTCTGATGTACAACTTCTAAGATTTTTAATGAAGACTTGAAAACTTTTTGGAGAAGGAGAGGAGGGAAGATTAATTACGGAAATAATGATGTCATATTGTTCAAAGAGTAATACTTAGTATATTTCTAAAAATAATTAGTGCTTCCCCAATGAAGGAAATTTAAAAGAAATGATATGACTATAGAAATTTAAAAGTAGCATAATCAAAAAGATACAAGGAAACAGTAAAATGATTGATAAAGAGTTAATGTTTTAAAGCATAAAGTGCTTATAAAATCAGCATGTGACAGTCAGGCAAGTGATGTAAATGAGTGAATCGGGCCCATGCTGTAGACTTGTGTGAGTAGCAATGTTGTTGGACTCAGGAGCGGGTACCCTTTTGAAGGAAGCAGCTGCTGCTCAGCTCCATCTTATTGTTTCCATGCAAGATTATGGGCCTGGTATTTCTAGATCTGATTGTTGTTTTCAAGAGAAGCCAGAAATCCAGATTTTAATATGAAATCTGCTAATTTTTGTAAGTTGCCTTTTTTTTTTTTTTTTAGCACCATGTGAACCAAAACTATATCTGAGAGCTAGATTTGGCTCTCAGATTGCCAGTGTGTTACCTATCTTATACAACTGGAGAAGACCACCAAGATCCCAAAAGCAAAATTAGCCAGGGGCATAAATATACCAGTGTCCTCAAGAACTATTAATAGAACTAGAAAATATGAAGAGTTTCAGTCTCACTGGTGATTAAGGAAATGTAAATTAAAATAAAATACTATTTTATACCTCTCAAACTAGAAAATAAAGCAGCATAGTCTGAGTTATAGGGTAGCAGGTATAATGATTTATTTTAAATTTATGGCGAGCAACTACATCATCATCAACTGTGAACATTAATGTGGATAATTTTGAAATAGATGGAAATAATTGCTACATTAGGGTAATAATATAAATGAAACTAGTATAAATAAAAACAATATTTACTATTTTTAAAGGTATTTAATAATTGAAAAATAGACTCTTCAAGGACTACTTGTAAAAATCGCAGACCTTAAAAATGCATTTGCTTTTTCTATTACTTTAGAAATTATAATTGTATGCATTTTTTTATGCCTTTATAACTAGTGTTATTTGTTCCCAGCCTTCCTTTTTCAGCTTTCATGGTGAGGTTTTAAAGTCATTACCTTGACTTCTGGGACGTTTGGAAATAGGGAATACTGCATTATTTCTGCTCTTTAGAACATTCTATTCTTTTGATGTAGTTTATTGCTTGATAGACCCTGGAAAGCGGAATAATGCTTAACTACCTTTTTTTTGCTGCTTGTTTTATAAATTAATCTTTGTTAAGAGATTTCTGACATCATCAGCATCACATCATATGTTTCCTTTCAGCGGCATCTGGAGGTAGCAGAAATAGCAGCAGCCCACTGGCGGTAGTGTCTGTGAAGTCTCCAAATCAGAGTCTCCGCCTTGGCTTGTCCAGATTAGCACGAGTTAAACCTTTGCATCCAAATGCCACTAGCAGCTGAGTGTGGTACCAGAGGAATGTTTGGTTGAGAGAATCACAGCTTTACAAGGGTGTTTATATTTGATTTGTGTTTATAGGCGAGGCAGGTATTATAATATAAAGGAATCTATTACCATGTCCTATAAATGACCTCTAGCCATTTTATGATTATGTTCTCTGTAAAACTCTTCAAGACTTCAATGAGAAGTTTGTTCATAAGAATTCTCTTCTCATGCCTTTCCTTGTGAAGAGTGTATTCTGTTTTTCTATCAGTTCGACATAGAGGAAGTCCACATCCCATGCTGTTCTTTTCTAGTTACGTGATATGCCTTTCTAGCTTTGTCTAGTTTATAGCACCTTGACTTTAACTGTTCAGTTTCGTCTGGCAGAGGGAAGCATTCTCATTTCTCTCCGAAGACATTTCTGAAATCTTATAAGCTGCTTAAGCTACATTATCAGTTTTATTGCAAAGATGTTTTGTATTTTAGCCAAATCTTTTTATAGTACAAACTTGGAATTATTTTACACACTAAAATGGTTGCAGTTTTATGGCATGTGTCTCCTGGTTAGATGATTATTCTCTAGAAAATAGAACTTAAAGACATTTTATGAAATCTTAATTGTCAAAACCTTTAATGGAAATATTTTGAAATGCTCTTTTTCTTGATACCACTCATCCACCTGTTCCTGATTGTCCACATTTCATGATAAAATGAGAGCTCTGCAGAGAATGTTAGCCTTTTTGTTGTAAATATAATATTCAAGTAGTCACTTTTTGTTAAGTTCTTTAGAAAGTAGTTGTCAAGTACTTAGTCATCCCTGTTATGATATTAGATAATACTGCTCTTCAGGAAGCTTAGATCTGAATTTACTTTGAAAAACAATTGTAATGAATAGCTTATATTTACATTGAGAATTTCAACTAGCTTCTGATGAATTTTTAATAAAAAATTTTCAAATCATGTTAACTGTTAAAAAATGTATAATACTTAACTCAGTTTTCCTTGGTTTATGGAAATATCTGTTAATGTGAAAATAATTAATTTAGAATTGTGATTAAAGTGAGCATTTGTCTGTTGCTGTTGTACACTTTTTATATCTAATGTATATTTTTATAGTGTCATATACCAGCCCCCTAACCTGCCCCACCTGTCCCCTTTTTAAAAACATATTTTTCAGTTACATAGCATTGATGTTCTCTACTTGGTATAGATCAACAATAAACATAAGAGCCTACTCTATATTGGGTACTGGTATAATTGATTAGTCATCTGGCACCAGCTTAACAATCTGTTTTTGCCATGTTCTTTATAGTTTATCGGGGGGGGTTGAAAATTACCTCAAAGTCTGTTAAAACCAGCCTGGCTGAAGCGCCGATACCTTTTTGTTGCCAAACCCAGTGTACAATTTTCTCACCTAATCTTCCATACCCTAGTCATTATACTCTGATGAAAACATTCGATTTCCTGGGCTCAGGTGACACATTTCTTTGTCATTTTCTTCCCATCTCCATGCCTACTCTTCATTATTTTGCAGCTTTCTAATCTGTTGTGTCATCTATACCTACTTGTCTTACCAGTTTCATGTTCTATGCAAACTCCAGTGGTCACTTATGTGACAGTAACTGCCAAGTCAGGATCTTTACCCTACACCTTGCTCTTGACACAAAACCTGTGGATGGTCCACTGACAATTTGATGTAGCAGATCCGTTATTAAATTCAAGTTCTCCTTCTACCCCTGACATCTTCTCTCCTGTGTTTTCTGTCGGTGAGTGAGTGGCGCCACCATCGTCTTCTCTCCTGTGTTTTCTGTCGGTGAGTGAGTGGCGCCACCATCGTCTTCTCTCCTGTGTTTTCTGTCGGTGAGTGAGTGGCGCCACCATCGTCTTCTCTCCTGTGTTTTCTGTCGGTGAGTGAGTGGCGCCACCATCGTCTTCTCTCCTGTGTTTTCTGTCGGTGAGTGAGTGGCGCCACCATCACTGCAGGTGCCAAAGGGGTCATCCGGGGATGGAGTCTTCTCTCGACTTTTACATCCAGTCACCAAGTCTTACTCCATTTCCTAAATTTCTCAAAACTCCTCTTCCATGTGCTCTCCCTTACTCTGAAACATCATCACTATTTCTAACAGGCATCCTTGCCTTGATTCTTCACCTGCTCGGGCTTACCTCCCGCTGTTACTGCCACAGAGGGTTTTCTAAAATAAAGTCAGCATGAACACCCCTCTGCAGCCGGCACACAGCAGCCTTACCCTGGTCGAGTTCATAGGCTACTTCATGTCTGGCTGGCCCCTTCCTGCTGCTTCAATCTTGTCTCTGCCCACGTGCACCTTTGACCCCTGCCCCCCAAACTGGGTGCTGGTGCAACGGTACCAAGCTTTTCCATGGCTCTGGCCTTCAGACTAGGATTTGCTTCCTTTACGTAGACAACTGCTTCCTGCCCTTGAAGACTCAAATTCAACCCAGCTCTTTCAGAAAGCTTCATTTGAATGTCTTTTCTGCCTGGACCAGACTGTGTGCTCCTCCAGGTCAACCTACTGTCATTCAATTACAAACTTCCTTACTTTTCATGCTTTCCTACAATCTGGTGCAAAGTAAGCACTCAAAAAGTGTTTAGCTGATAAATGGATTTTGCCCAGAACTTTTGCTATGTACTTTTTTCTTTCCTTTTTTTTTTTTTTTTTTTTTGAGACAGAGTCTCGCTCTGTCGCCAGGCTGGAGTGCAGTGGCGTAATCTTGGCTCACTGCAACCTCAGCCTCCCGGGTTCAAGCGATTCTCCTGCCTCAGCCTCCCAAGTAGCTGGGACTACAGGCGCGCACCACCACACCCCGCTACTTTTTGTATTTTTAGTAGAGACGGGGTTTCGCAATGTTGACCAGGATGGTCTTGATCTCTTGACCTCGTGATCCACCCGCCTCGGCCTCTCAAAGTGCTGGGATTATAGAAAAAATGTCTAAATAGAGACGGGGTGGGGGAGAGGGGGGTCTCACTACGTTGAGCAGTTTGGTCTCGAACTCCAGACCTCACGTGATCTGCCTGGGCCTCCCAAAGTGCCGGGATTGCAGGTGTAAAACCACCGCGCCCTGCCAGAACTTTTGTGATGTAATTCTGATAACCACATGCTGTGCTTGAAGAAGGGGAGAGGAGGGAGAATTTCACGTGTCTGATCTGGGCAGCCACCTTTAAGCTCTTTATGCTGAGATTTTGTTCAATTCTTGCCCTATGCTTTAAAGAACTGGGGCAAGAGAATGTGAGTGGGAGGACGAGAAGTATGTTCTTGAGGCTGCTACTCTGCAAGGTGGTTTGGGACCATAGCCCGAGTAAGCCCTTTCAGCTCCAGAGTCACAAAAAGGGCGGAAGCCGTTTCTATAGCGACGGGAGGAGGGCGTGGCCGTCCCTTGCACTCAGCTCGGCTCTCCCAGCCTCCCGCAGCGGCGGGCGGTCGGCGCCATCCTCATGCAGCTCCTCCCGCCGCCTACCCGCACCGGAACAAAGTAAGGGCTGCGGAGGCTGGTACTTCGCGTGCAGTCCGGCGCGAGTACGAGCCAGCTAGGGCCGACTGCGCTCTTTTAGGCCCCTCGAAGCTTCTGGTCGACGGGGTCGTGGGGGAGAATGAAAAGCGTGCGAATGCAAGAGTAGACTGGGGAGTGTGGGTCAGAGAAAGAGAGAGAGAGGCGGGGGGTGGTGCACAGACAAGGAAAATACAGTTGTAGGTTTTGCGACGACTGCATCCCCGGAATCCAACATCGGTATACTTTTCTGTTAAGATGCTGTTGCATCGCCGACTCCAGCTGAGTGCAGGACAGGGAGCGAGGGGTTCTGAGGAACTCATCAGACCTACCTTGGAACTGTGCTCCCAGCCCTCACTGGGACGCGAGACTTTCTTCCTCCCTTTCTTTCTCTTCTTTGCTGCATGTCCTCTTGTCAGTCATAAGTGGGTCCACGACCACACGCCTCGCGTTGGTGAGGCTCTGGCAGGTATTACCCATGTTCCCACCTAGCCCATATGCCTGGGCACCTTTGTGCTCAACCACAGCCCAGCCCCTGACACAAAAGCACACTAAGGTGTATGTAGATCACACACCCAGAGCTGCCGCTCTGAGGAAATTCCCAATATTAGCAAATCTTTCCTTAAAAAAGTGATGAACAGGCCGGGCGCGGTGGCTCAAGCCTGTAATCCCAGCACTTTGGGAGGCCGAGACGGGCGGATCACGAGGTCAGGAGATCGAGACCATCCTGGCTAATACGGTGAAACCCCGTCTCTACTAAAAAAATACAAAAAACTAGCCGGGCGAGGTGGCGGGCGCCTGTAGTCCCAGCTACTCGGGAGGCTGAGGCAGGAGAATGGCGTGAGCCGGGAGGCGGAGCTTGCAGTGAGCTGAGATCCATCCGGCCACTGCACTCCAGCCTGGGCGACAGAGCGAGACTCTGTCTCAAAAAAAAAAAAAAAAAAAAAAAAAAAGTGATGAACGATGCACAGTTTGAGGGATTTTAAAGGCTGTTCTGTGACATTTGCTGCATTGGAAATGTCCAGCAGTCCCTCAGAGCTTAGGAAAATTGTGACCCCTCTGACATGTCTTAAGCAACCGACAGCATCATCAATATTAATTCAGGCTTCACTGTCCAGGCTTAAGTGGAGACTTGGCAAAAGCAGGAGGCCGTTTAGTGGATAAGTTCAAACGGTGGAAACAGCAAATGGAAATGTCCTTTGTCCTGCTTGAACGATTTAATCACCTACATGTGGTCGGTATGTAAAACCTAGGAGTTCTAAGAAATTTTTCAAACATGGACTCTACCTGATTGGTTCCGTTACTTAAATCTGTTGTTTCTCTTGTTTGTTTTGGTCCTTATGGAGAAAGCAGAGGTAAACCGGAAGGGACTCTCTAGCAGTCTGTCAGCCACTCTCCCCTGACTTTGCCCTCTCCAATTCCACATATTGTTGCCTACAATTTGACTAGAATGCCTAGTTCTCAAGCGTGTGGAGGACCCAGTTCTGGGAGTCAGTGGTTTTAGCTGGCTCTGAGCCCATCGTGAGTGTGTTGTGATGGCTCCCAAAAGAGCAAATGCTGGTGGAGGCTGCATTAATAGAAAGGCAATGAGCACATCAAAGGACATGGTCTTGCTGCCTGACTTAGCAACAAGTAGAACATAATCCGGACTCTAGAAACTGTAGCTACTTTGAGATCATAAAAAACTAGAAAATAGGAACAACCACAAGGCAGGCGCTCTCTGTCAGGCCTGGATGTGCCATCACATGAAGACAGGTTTGAAAAAACTTCACAGAATGCCTGGAGATGAGGAGGTGCAGGGGAGAGAAAGCTTTTCTCTACTCAGCTTTTGAACATTCAAGAACTCTTGGGTAGAAAAGAGACAGATTTGTTCCTTAGTACTCTGCAGAGGATACCAAGGATCAGTGGAGGAAATTTTGCTCAATATAGTTTATTCTTCCAAGAAATACCAAGCACCAACCATCTGTAAATTAACAGTAGAGTGTGAAATGGGTTGCCTAGAAAAACAGTGCACTCGGTCATAGAAATATTCAAGTATAGACAGAGTGATTGTCAGGAATACCATAGAAAGAGGATTCTTTCCATGGGTGGGAAAATGGATGAAATGGTCTCCAAAACCTCTTCTAGCTCTTTAGAGTCTGGGAGTCCGTGAACCCTCAAAAGTTTCAGGGATATATGCAGAGGGTCCAAGGAATTCTCTTTGGCAGAAATGAGTGTGGCTTAAAATAGAGTCAGATCAAAGAAATAAGACCCAGTGTTCAATAAATCAGTAGAATGAAAATAGTAAACAATAATCTATTGTATATTTCAAAACAGCTAGTAGTGAATAATTTGAAGCCCTGACTTGATTATATATTATATAAATATAAATATATACATCTATTATGTATCAATTAAAAAATGAATGTAACTTAAGTTCATTAAAAACATTATCACCTGTTCACAGAATGCAAACGGAATCCCTGCAAACCCTACACTGCCACACTTTCTGCCCCAAAGACAGCCCCCAGGGCGTAAAGATCGAGCAACTGGCAATTGCAGTAGAAATACTAAAATCGTAACAGGTAAATGTCAAAAGACTTGTTTCCTTTCTGGATATTGAAGTACTCTACACATAGATAATGTATGTGTATTAATATAAAATACTATGCAGTGCAGTAAGGCTGGCACCTCTGTGGATCTGTCTTGCCCTTGAGACTTTGAACTCCTTGAAAACAAGGATTCTGTTTTATTTATGTCTGAATCCTCCATGCTTAGCACAGTAGCTGGCACGCAGTTGATGCTCTGGAATTTTTTGATGAATTAATCTATTTTAGATTTCTCTTCCTTCAGCAAATTTGTACCAAGTGTTCAATAGACAAGTCACTGTCCTTACCCCAAAAGGAATTTTTAAAAAATGCAGGCTCACCATCTGTGTCCCCGAAAGATTAACAATCAATATGAGACAAAAAATATATACACCTAAGATAATTAAGTTACGCGAAAGCTCTTGACCAAGTAAAAAAAATGAACTTCTAGGCAAACGCACCACTGAACGCTCAAGGAAAAAGAGGAAGGGGAAGGGGAACTCTGATCCTCATGTAAGATGGAAATGAGGATGGCCAAACTTTTGGTTTCAGTTCTCAAAGGAACATTCACTCTAGTTCTGAGCTGAATTTACTGGTTATCTTCAATCCTTCGTGTAACAAGATACAAACGAAATATAAAAAGCATTTTAATTCTTTTCCACATAGTTCACCACATATTTTGAGGATAAAAAGGTAGCATTTGCAAAGGTTTGAGCAAGGGTTAAGTTGTACTGTTGGAAGCCAGAGTTCATGCATAAAATAAGAAAGGCATAAATTAGTCTATAATAATCACAGAATTATCTAAGGGATGGCAAAGTTGGAATAAGTCACAACAGATTTTTTTTTTTTTTTAGTCTGTCAGTATTTTTGTAGAATTAAAGAAACTTAGACCCTAAAGGGACTTTAGAAGTCATCTGGTCCAGTCTCATCATTTTGCAGGTGAGGAAACTGAGCACAGAGAGGACAAACGGCTCATTCAAAATCATGGCACTGTGTGTAAGGTGGCATTGAGACAAGACTCCACGATTCCTCAGCATTTCCTTCAGTGTTTGCTCCTTCTCTACCTCCAGAGCTGTCAGAGCTGAACAGAGGAAAGGGCTCCAGTTGTTTGGAAGATTTCACATTTACCTTTTTTTTTTTAAGATGGAGTTTTGCTCTGTTGCCCAGGCTGGAGTGCAGTGGCGCGATCTCGGCTCACTGCAACCTCTGCCTCCTGGGTTCAAGAGATTCTCCTGCCTCAGCCTCCCGAGTAGCTGGGATTATAGGCATGAGCCACCGCGCACAGCTAACTTCTTTTGTATTTTTAGTAGAGACGGAGTTTCACCGTGTTGGCCAGGCTGATCTCGAATTCCTGACCTCAGATGATCCACCTGCCACGGCCTCCCAAAGTGCTGGGATTACAGGCGTGAGCCACCATACCTATCCCACATGTACTTTCATAGTCACCTACATCTCTGTGAAGTAAAGGAAGGCAACACTCGATGCAGAGTCTTGGCAGGAAAAATTGTTGTATTCGTTTTTGCCCAAAGTTGAGATTTTACAAATTCTATGTCCAGTTGGTGGCCAAAATTTCACCTGTTCTGTCTCCCAGGTCTTTCCCAAGTTCATACTTCTATCCTCACTGTCATTGCCTTGGTTGAGACTCTCATTCCCTCTTACCTAGACACCCAAAATGCCTTCCTAGTTCCTCCAAATCGTGCTTCATGATATTGCCAGAGAGATGGTACCAGAGTACACAGCTGATCTGCAGCCCAGGCTTAGCCACGTAGGTTCCAAGACTCCAACTTGGGCTATGGGACCCTTTACAACCTCATCTACCTCCCTGGCCCTCCACCAGCAATGTCCAAGGACAGTGCTCAAAATTTCTGGAAAAGACAATGTTCTTTCGCATTTATGTTATTTGTGTGTCCTCCTCCATCTGCCCTTGACACTCCCGCCTGCCCTGCTCATTCTTCAGAGATGGTTCTACCCTGCTCAAGCGTGAAGGCTTCCTCAGCTCCCCCAGCCGACTTAGTCAACACCTGCAAGCATGCTCTGGGAGCTGGTTGCACAAGCCTGTATTAATACATTGATCACATGCATTGTCATGATCTGCTTTCTTCTGTGTACCTTCTTTCCTGGATAAGGAGTTCTCTTTGAGGGCAGAGACCATGTCTGGTTTATCAGTGAAATTGTCTCAGCAAATGTTTATGGAAAGAAAGGAGAGAAGGAAGAAGTGAAACTATGATCATAAGCAGAGAAGTTACTGGTAATTTTTGTTTGCTTTTGTGCAGAATTTTTTCATATTGTATGTATGTGTGTGTAGATTATAGTTAATGTTCCCACTTACCTCCCCCAGCCCTACTTCTTAGAGGTCACTATTACAGTTCACTTCTTCCAGATCTTTCAATACGCCTGTATAAAGACATGCAAGCATTTTGTTTTTTGTTAAATAAATATAGGATTATATTACACACATGTTCTACTGTTTTTGCTCAATACATTATGGGCACATATAAAGATCTACCTTATATTTTAAATGACTGCATTATAGTTCATAAAACATATGTGTGCCATGATTTTTTAACTTCCCTTTATGGACGAGTTCTGATTTTTTAATAGTTATGCCACAATACCTGGTAGCATGACTTTTCTTTAATCCTCTGAACAACTTTCAGAGTTGTGGTGCCATCATCATTTATGTGGCGTCTGCAAGAGCCTGCCAGGGGAGTGATTTGCAGAAGCTGTGATAACATTTGCTTTGCTTCCTGTTCTGCCCCTGTTTCGTGTATTCTCGATTCCCTCGGCTCTTGGCTAAGGTTAGAAGCTGAAAAGGGACTTGCAGAGGACACAGAGCGAGCGGTTTCAGCAGGTGCTCTGCTAATGTAACAGGGAATGTGTGTGTCCTGAGACCCCTCTAAAACTCACCTTCCACTTGTAGAAATTATTGCTTACACTAGATTCCATGAATGTGTGCAAGGTTTTTTTCTGTTTTGCAGTAAGTTAATTATTAACAGAACTGTGCTCTGAATGAAAAAGATGCAAACATGGCCAAATGAGAGTTAGAGGAAGTGTTTCTACCAATTGTCCCCCTTTTCTTTTTCTATAGGCATTAAACTGTCTAAGTAGCCCACGAATATGCCCATCTTGTAGGGGGATATTGTGTTTGTGGCAGAAGCATGAAGTTTACTTTCCAGTGAAGTAGGGGAAATGGTTTTTTCCGGCTTGGTTGTCTAAACTGCTAATCACCGGATTATCTCTTCCTCCTTCCCTGGCTTCTGTCTCTTGCTCTGACCTCCTGACCTCACATGACCATCAGAAGGAAGCAAGGGAGAAAGAGGGACCCTGCCCCTGCTTTTAAGCCTGTTGCCTTCTCTTCTTCAAACCTGCCTGCTTTCTTCTATCCCTGAGTGTGTGGGCCATTACTTAGATTTGACTCCTCCTGCCAATTTCTTTTTTACTTTCCCTCTTGCAGGACTCAAATGGATGCTAAAAAGCCAAGGAAATGCGATTTGACTCCCTTCCTGGTTTTGAAAGCAAGAAAGAAACAAAAGCTCACCTCTGTGAAGGTAAAGATCTTTGAATTTTCACTGGGGAAGAGAGGTATCATCGTGAGGACCTAGGGACTCAGGGCCCAGTGCTGATGGGTGTGCCCCAAGCGCCTCTGGGGACAGCGCAAAGGGAAAGGTGTGGAGGATCACGCTGATTGGCAGGGCCAAATCTGGGTGGGTGTGGAGGGAAAATCAGCAGACGGGCAAGGCCTTCATCTAACAGGTGAGCTGTATTCGAGAAGACCCTAGGTGAGTGCATACATGGTATCTTTCATTCTGCTCTATATATGTGGGATCCTACTGGAAGTGTCCTGGAATAGTTCAAGAACACTTCCAGAAAAGATCTGCTTTTTTCTTTTTTTTTTCCCCTTGGAGACGGAGTTTCACTCTTGTTGCCCAAGCTGGAGTGAAATGGTATGATCTCGGCTCACTGCAACCTCCGCCTCCTGGGTTCAAGCGATTCTCCTGCCTCAGCCTCCCAAGTAGCTGGGATTACAAGCGTGCGCCATCACGCTGAAGGGGTGGCCTGCCCCTCCACACCTGTGGGTGTTTCTTGTTAGGTGGAACGAGAGATTTAAGAAAAGAAATGAGACACAGAGACAAAGTATAGAGAAAGAAAAAGTGGGCCCAGGGGACCGCCGCTCAGCATACCAAGGACCCACGCCGGCACCGGTCTCTGAGTTCCCTTAGTATTTATTGATAATTATCTTTACCATCTTAGAAAAAAGGGAAGTAGCAGGATAATAGGATCATCGTAGGGAGAAGGTCAGCAGTAAGACATATGAATAAAGATCTCTGTGACATAAGTTTAAGGAAAAGTGCTGTGCCTTGATATGCATATGCAAACATCTTCATAAACCTTTTTAGTGCATAAAGAGCAGCATTGCGCTAGCAAGTCCCACCTTTCGCCCTAAGGCGGTTTTCTCCTTTCTCAGTAAACAGAACATACAATTGGGTTTTACACCGAGATGTTCCATTGCCCGGGGACGGGCAGGAGACAGATGCTTTTCTCTATCTCAACTGCCAACAACCGCCAAAAGGCCTTCTTTCCTCTTGTACTAGTCGTCCTCAGCACAGACCTTTCACGGGTGTCAGGCTGGGGGGCGATCAGGTCTTTCCCTTCCCACGAGGCCATATTTCAGACCATCACATGGGGAGAAACCTTGGACAATACCTAGCTTTCCTAGGCAGAGGTCCCTGCAACCTTTGGCAATGTACGTGTCCCTGGGTACTTGAGATTAAGAGAATGGTGATGACTTTTAACCAGCAAGCTGCCTTCAGGCACTTGTTTAACAAAGCACACCCTGCACAGCCCAAAATCCTTTAAACCTTGAGTCACCACAGCACATGTCTCTTGCAAGGACAAGGTTGGGGGTAGGGTCACAGATTAACAGCATCTCAAATACAGAACAAAATGGAGTCTCTTATGTCTACCACTTTCTATATAGACACAGTAACAGTCTGATCTTTCTTTCTTTTCCCCACAACGCCTGGCTACTTTTTGTATTTTTAGTAGAGACAGGGTTTCTTCATGTTGTTCAGGCTGGTCTCAAACTCCTGACTTCAAGTGATCCACCTGCCTCGGCCTCCCAAAGTGCTGGGATTACAGGCGTGAGCCAACGTGCCGGGCCAAGATCTGCTTTTTTTCTAATACAGACATGGTGTCTTTCCTTTCACTCTGCCTCAAAAACTAGTAAAATGCCACTGCACTGAAGTTAAAATTGTGATGGGATGACTTTGTCATAACCATCTATGGGATCAACTTCTAAATCAGGTGTATTTTAAAAATCTAACACCACTCAGTTTGCATTTCTTAGTGTGTTCAAAAGATCATATTGTTTGGGGTCTTTGTCCTGAAAGTTTGTAGCAAACTTCAGCCCAAAGCATTCAGGTTTGACTTCTGAATCCTGCCTACATCATTGATTGGGAGAACTGGAGTTCAGCAGCCTAACCCAAGGCCTAGCAAAAATGGTCCTCCTGTAAATCACATACACTTCCTTAAAATTATGACTTTAGGTTTCCTCTTCCAAGCGCTGTTCCTGATTTAACTCTAGTGTTGTCCCCCTTGGGATTATAACTCATACAAATGGGCCCTAATGCAGAGTCCTTTGCTCCACCCCGCTACCCGTGCCATTAACACATATAACAAAACACGTTTATTTTGCAGTTTATAGGTGCAATTTTTAATACCTAAAACAAATTTATTTTGATAAAATAAAAATTACTGTAAAATATTTGAAATAATAAATCTCCAGCAAAACATGGTAATATAATAAAGATGGCATTCTTTTCAAATGTTAAAATATGATGCAAACAGAACAATCTTGGTTATGATTTTATTTTAGCAAAATCATCATGAGGTTTGCAACTTGCACATTTATTTATTTATTTATTTATTTAGAGACAGAGCCTCGCTCTGTCGCCCAGGCTGGAGTGCAGTGGCATGACCTCGGCTCACTGCAAGCTCCGCCTCCCAGGTTCACGCCATTCTCCTGCCTCAGCCTCCCGAGTAGCTGGGACTACAGGCGCCCGCCACCACGCCCGGCTAATTTTTTGTTTTTTTATTAGAGATGGGGTTTCACCATGTTAGCCAGGATGGTCTCGATCTCCTGACCTCGTGATCCCCCCGCCTCGGCCTCCCAAAGTGCTGGGATTATAGGCGTGAGCCACCACGCCCCGCCGCAACGTGCACGTTTTTAAGCTGCTTGAGCGCACATTTATTGAGTGCTGAGGTGACTCACACATGCCTTAGCAGCAAGTGCTATTTTATCCCCAATTTTACAGAGGGGAAAATTGATATACAAGCAAGGCCAATTAGCCCATGGTCATAATGCCAGTGAGTGGAGGACAGAATTCAAACCCATATTCTTTTTAAATTGTTATTTAAAAAATTTTTGAAAGTAGAGACAGGGTCTTGCTATGTTACCCAGGCTGGTTTCAAATTCCTGGGCTCAAGCCATCCTCCCACTTCAGCCTCTCGAACTGCTGGGATTACAGGTGTGAGTCGCCACACCCGACCAAATCCCTATTCTTAACCACTCTCTTCCATGCCTCTCTGTTGCATAATGATAGCTCTGTTAAATGTTGTCCTGTAAAGTTCCTTACACCTTACACATTTCAATGAAGTTTAAAGAAAGCAAACTCTGTTGCAGTTACAATGACAGGAATTGTCAAAAATAAAATAAGTTTGGGGCGTGATGATTCACACCTGTAATCTTAGCACGTGGGAGGCTGAGGTAGGAGGATCACTTGAGCCTGGGAGTTTGAGACCAGCCTGGGTAACATAGCAAGACCCCGTCTCTACAAGTAATAATAATGATGATAATAAATTAGCTGGGTGTGGTAGTGCATGCCTGTAGTCCCAGCTGCTTGGGAGCCTGAGGTAGTAGGATCGCTTGAGCCCAGGAGGTTGAGGCTGCAGTGAGCCGTGCTTGCACCAGCCACTGCATCGCCCTGGGCAACAGAAGAAAACCCTGTCTCAAAATAAATAAAATAAGGGCCGGGCGCGGTGGCTCACGCCTGTAATCCCAGCACTTTGGGAGGCCGAGACGGGCGGATCACGAGGTCAGGAGATCGAGACCATCCTGGCTAACACGGTGAAACCCCGTCTCTACTAAAAATACAAAAAAATTAGCCGGGCGTGGTGGCGGCGCCTGTAGTTCCAGCTACTCGGGAGGCTGAGGCAGGAGAATGGCGTAAACCCGGGAGGCGGAGCTTGCAGTGAGCTGAGATCCGGCCACTGCACTCCAGCCTGGGCGACAGAGCGAGACTCCGTCTCAAAAAAAAAAATAAATAAAATAAATAAATAAATAAATAAAATAGGATTAAAAAAGTCACATTCAAAATCAATTTGATTATGTTGTATTTTACAATAATTACTGGCAAATTCACAATGTCATTTAAAAATACTCTTGAAACTTAAAACTACTGTCTTTGTATTGCCAGTTGTTCTGATGGGGCTTAAATAAATGTCTTTTCAACATCTATTGGTTTTCCTCAACGGACTTCTCATCCAGTTGAATTTAATAGGTTTTAGGAAGGAAATGCAAACAATTCAGTAACTGGCTTCTGCACGTGAAGTCTTGGGTTTCAGTGGACAGTTATGATACTAATTGGAGAAAGAAAATGAATTGTATGAATTATAATCCCTTCATCTAAAAAAAAACACTGAAGAAGAGAGAGCTGTGGATCTTACGATGCCTACTGCCCCAAGCAGGTGTTGAGAGGGCAACTTAAATATTTAAATAAATTAATCATAATTTATGTTTTTCACAACATTTAAAATTATAGATTATAAGTATAATATTTATAATAATCAAGTATTCACATATTTTAATATGGGTCCTGGTAACATTTCAGCCAAGGGAAATTTTAAAATGTGACTTCACCTGACTTTAAGACAATAGTGTGGATCTCTCTCTCTCTCTCTAGTAATCTGGAGTTCTTTTCAGATGCCCTATTCATTGGACTAACACGGGGTAGAACCTTGATGCCAGTGGAGGGCCCCTATCCTTTCTGCTCAGCTGGCAAGGATCAAAGAACTCTCAGGAAAATGCTCCGTGTTGCATTTCTCGGAACTGCCGGCAGGGGGAAAAGAGGCCCTTTGGTCCTCAGTCATCTCACCCAGTAGGCTGGAGGACATCCGGCTTTTCTGCATCTCAGCGTTGCCTCAGCTGGTTTCTGGGACTCAAGGAGCTAGCTGAGCTCCAGGATCACAGGTTAGGCTATACCAGGAAGAGAACCTGGGAGAGAGTCCTAGGGATGGAAGCTGGTAATTTAGGATATTACATTACGATCTCCCCGACAGCCACAAGATGCTACAAAGCACATCCAGAATTATACTGAAGACACATTTCTAGTTTCAGCACCGAAAGCACAGGTACTTTTTCTCTGTTAATTTCTTAGAGCCTTTCAATCATTCCCTTGCTGAATATCACCTCCTGAGAGAGGCTTTCCTTCCCCTCCCTTTCTAATGACAAATCTGTTTGCTTACTCGTTTGTTGTCTCTCCTGCCCTCC